GCCAGCGTTTTAATGCGAATTCGAATGCTGCTTATGATGCGGAAAATGTACATCAACGTGCATACATACAATGTGTCTCAAGATTTGCTAGAGACGAGCCAGATCACAAGAAAGGGGAACTGTTACTGACGTTCGAGTAGTTTATCTGGCGATTGGAACGATAAATCTTAAAGAAACGATCGTAAATGTTACTATCGATGGTCACATCCGCTGTTCAAAAGCATATCGCGTTAAGAATATTTATTATTTGATAACAAACACAAGAAGTTATGGGTGGTGCGTTTGGAGGAAATAGTTAAAATATTTTATTTCATAAATACATAGGTACCTACTATTGAAGTTTTGAAGACACCGCTGAACGTTTCCCTTCGGAAACGAATAAAAGATACATAATGGAAAAACGGAACGAAATGAAATGAAACGAATCGATGGCGAACCGATCAATCGAAATGGCGTAAAAAAAGAACACACAGGCAGCGATTGATATTTCGCAGATGAGCTACGACGACATGGACAGTCTCCCTCCGTCTGGTGGTGATTTGCGATTAGTATACTCGTCCGGTCTGACAAACGTAACCGAGACGAGGTCGTCATACATTGAACACGATTGCCACGTGCAGATTCATTCGACATACAGAGGGACAAAGTTCCCATGACAGCGACAGAAACGAAACGTTAACGCTTTATTGTTTTTAACTCTCGATTATCAAAGGGTCAATTTTGGCGGTAATATTTTTCAATAATAAAATAAATCTTCAAGTAATATCACGCTATTTATAATAAAAGTATTTCAATCATTATTTCTAATATGGTAGATTTTCCTTGAAATGTATTCAACTTTGGACCGAAATGATCTTTGCTCAAACAATTACCAAACACATCGCACGAAATCGTTAAACAGTTCGAAGTAGAAATGTACTTACTCGATACACGTTTATATGTATGTAGTAGAGTTAGAGTGCGTTCATATTAGAGGGATATTCCTAATAATTAAAGAAGTCAATTAACATTGTAAGAAAACGTTGATCCTAATAACAGCGGTCAACAATAGTAAACCATGTTCGCAGCACGTAAATCTCTCAAGATACTATTTCCATTAGAATTGTAAATATTTCTCAAAGTCTACTACATACTTGCGAAGCAAGACCGCGTGAAAGCTGGAAATCCTCTGAATAATTCAACACAAAAACGACCCAAAGATTGATCTTGTGTCTGACTACACACACGCAAAAAATTCACCAGAGAGTTTTTTATCATAACTAAAGTTTGGCAAATTGTATATTTGAATCATTGAATCTAACATGTTTTTACAAGATACCTACGCATCTGTTAGTTCCAAGGAATCTAAAAAAATATAATTGAAGACTAGAAATATTTAATTATTCTAAAAGTTTCAAATTGGCCATTTTCTACTATTATCCTTTCAATTCCCTGAATGTAATAAATATTTCATTAATCACGGTGAAAATCGATCGTACGATTTCGCGAATCATTCATGAAGATGTCCATTTTATAAAATCGCAACGATTTAGCAAAGCGATTAAAGGACGAATGCAAGCCAAGCCAGTGTATGTACATACATACATACATACATACATACATACATCGTTTCATTTAGCTCATTTAAATGGCGAACTTGAGCATCTGTTGGCGACCAACAGGTGGACAGCACAACGAACTGAGCCACGTAAATGAGCCATAATGCTTCATGTATCTTACGAAACGTTAATGGTACTTTGTATCGGTAAATTACTTCGTCGATGGTAATTGCGGCCTTTTAACCTCGACCAATTTGGAACGTTAATTAAAACGACCAACATTTGCGTGGAGATCCGAAACGAACCTGTTCAAAAGAATTGCGAGATCGCCTACGCCTACGCGATTTTTTTTAACTAATTGTAAATCATTTATGATGTACTTAACCCTTTGAAATCTTCTGGTACGCTCGCGATCAAATAGAGTGAACATTAATATCAAATCGCGAGTATACGCATATCGTATGTACTGACACTGATCACTTAATATGTGACTGATATGATTTTTTTCACTTGTAAAATGATATGAATTGATAACATTTTTTCATTATCTTTTATTTTAACTTTCAAATTAACTTTCCTCCATTATCTATCTATAAAACTGCAACTCATCCGTTTTTTATCAAATAAAATTTCTTCATCATGAATCATTCAAGTGATTCTGAAGTGTATAATTATCATCAACAAAGCCATTATATGAGTGATCTCCACGAGAAAATCGTGCTAAATGCTTATTTAACACATTTTCATATTAGAAGAAATTGGTGAAAACTATGAATTCTTTCTGTTTTCAAAAAATACAAATTATGACAAATCTGACTGATCGATTTCAAAACAACAATGTTTTTCAAATACCTAAGCTAAATACACGAAAACGCACTGCCCTCCGTACAAATAAAACGATTGAAATTCAAATACGATTTAAAACAAGATATTTGTTATATGTATGTCGCGAAAAATATAAGTATTACTTTCAGTTCAATTTTGCTTGAATGAAAAATATATTTTCTTCAAATCATCTCTACTCGACCCTTCAAAATCCCCTTATAAGAAAGAAGGATCTAATCCGTTCTGAAGAAAACATAACGACAGTGTTTAACATTAATATTCTACTCTACAATTAGTATCTAATTATAATTTATTATGTTAGGTGTTAACCCATTACAATCTTACATTAATACAATTAAGTAAGTATGTAAAATTTATTCAATCATTTTTAATTAGCTAAAATGAATATTATGTTTCTTTATGAAATTCATGCTTCACCCAAATGTGACTGATCAAAGTGTTGAGAGGATATATGAATACGCTGCGCTGGAATTACGCAGATATAAATTACGTACTAAGGAATTGCGTTACAGGCAATACGATAAAGTGATTGATACGCAATAAGAACACCTTTATCACGAAGGGCTTGCAATAAGATACAAGACTATCCAGCTGTTGCGTAATTAAATTACAAGCATATTTAAACATCTTCAACACGTCTTATATGTATGTATGTATGTATGTATGTATGTATGTATGTACACCTTGATAATTGAAAAAAAGAACCAACACTTTTTACATACATATGAGATCGAGGACGGTATTTTTAACACAAATTCGAAACGTTTGTGATGAGTTCACATCTAGCATAATTACGCACTAATCAAATTAATTTTAAAACAAATCTTGATTGACCCAGATTTAATAATTGATAGGCAAGTTAAAATATTTATTATTTTACGTAAAGAATTAATGGAATTAATAAAAGAATTGTAATTATAAAAAAATATAATAATTACTGAAAATACTAGAGCTACCAAGGAAGTAAAAATTACTTTTCAAATATTTCCTTATATATTACTCATTTTTATAACATTTTATTTTCTAAAACTTTCCCTTACTTCTATAGAAATACACACATGATCAATATTGTACATCTGCTTTCTCCTTTTCACTTGTGTTTTTTTTTTTAACAATAACATGTCTATGTTAATTTACTTAATAATATATGATTAATAAAAATCATATATGTAGATAAAGCTTTCTTATCAAATTCTGGAGCAGATCCAACGCTTTTTCTACTATTTTATTTTCAATTTCGAAAACAAAATGCAATATTTATCTACATAATTTTTTATAATTGCAGCGTTTTACTCCAGTGCAAAACTCTCCAATCAAAACGGGAATTTTGTTTAGAAATTAACACCGCAAACACGAGTTGGTGATTTTCAAATAAAACTGCCTCTCTATTGAAATGCTGCTTAATTAAAATCTCAACGCCAAACGTTTGCACGAAACTAAATGAAAAAATTGATTTTCGAAAATAACTTCAACAAATCGTACGCTTCCTGTTCCGATTGCTGTGAATTAAATCCGATGATTTTACAGTGTAGAAAAGCGGAAAATGAACTCGTCCGAACAACAAAAAGGGAAGAAAAATCGATTGTCGCCAAGTTCGCGATATCTAAATCAATCCTTGTTAACGATATTTGAATGCTTTTGAATATAATCCAAATACCGAACAATTTATATTTTTTCAAAGTTTCATGCTTAATAAATAGGAAAATAATGTAACGATGACAATTCGTGAAAGCGTAGAATGATTATGCGTGCTGCATCGTTAAGGTGAAACCGACAACAGCTTTTTCCGCGGTAAATTTTCCGTCCACGTCTGAATATTCATTGACCTTAAACGTATGAAAGTGATTCGTTCGTAATAATTACATCATGATACACTGATACACGGAGGCCGAGATCAAACGAATAAGCCCAAACAAAACAGGGTATAACATTGACAGGACATCATTTATCCAAGAATCGAGAACTACGCTGGAAATTTGATAACCTAACGCATGCACGCATAACATATACGGTATTTGTTTGACTAGTCGGTTGTTTCATTTGTGCCTAACCATCTAGACCGGAAGATCGCACAAATCCCCGGCAGTAAAGTGACGACACTGGACACAGATGATACTTAATTCTCATTTTATTTACCACTTCAGTTAGTTTTATTTACTTTTATCCTATTAAAGTGTCATACGTAAAAATAATAATAATAATAATAAATAGAAAGGAAATTGATACAGATCGAACAATACCGGCAACGTAATGACGCTGTGAAAATATAAACCGAGATAGGATTCGCGTTTGGTGATCTGTCACGTCCGACTGACAGCTAGCATCCTACGATAGACAGAGCGCGCCACGCAGTCCTGAACAGACACACGCAGCTCAAATAAGCTGTGGTGTGTATGTTATAAAAGAAACAAGTTAACCCGATGCAAGGTGAAAACGATACACGACGACAGGCACCCCTGAGCCAAGGGTGCGAACGGAAAAATACGACTAATCCTGGAAAAAAGGGCGTGTGAATGCCCGCCGAATGTCTGGCGTCCGCCGTGACACCGAGTAACAAGAGGGATAGCGCACGAAACACGAGAATTAGGCGGAAATCAAAGACGGTTTATCGATTACCTGGGTATACAGTTCGGTGCTGTGCGATCCACTTCCCAAGTGGCAAACAGCTTCATGGGAACGGGCCGGGTGGCCGGGGCTGTCGTCTTCGTACGCTCCGCCATTTTTGGCCCGTCGACCCACAGAAACAATCACTACACCTTCTATTCACCACGGCTCGCGGCTGACTGACTGACTAAGCCCGCTCGTGGCGCCGTACAAGCGCTTTCGTGAGCCGACGAAGAAACACGGAAACGCACGAAGACGCCCTTCGGAGAATCTTCCGATTGAGCGGGAATTATGTATGTACATTCCCACAATGAAAACCAACGAAACGATGCAATCAATAATATCTCTTTTATGAATATATTTTAAAACTTATTTTACTTTAGACAAAAAAACGATGTGATTGAACAATATTATTAAAGTTTAACAAAAGACGAAATATATATATTTTACTTTAGATTTTTAATTACACTCCAAATAAACATATTATTTAAAGATAATAAAAAATCATTCAACAAACGATTTTTGTTGGAGTATTTTTTTATTACAAAAATGCCAAGTGACATGAATAATCAAATAAATATACACAATTCGTTCTGTTATAACATTTTTTTCCAATTGCTTTTCATTGATCATTGATTAAAGTAAGTGATACGATAACCACCACATTAAAATAGGCTGAATTCCCGCTACAAATAGTATAAAATAGAGTCTCCTTTTATTACCAGAAGCGGTGTACGAGCTATGATTCTGTGGAATGACCCTTAACTTTAATGATCGCATAAGGAAAAATGCTAAAGATGCACTAAAGTACAGCAATATGAAATAATAGCCGAATTTCCGAAACAATAACGATACTACAAGAGCTGCATTAATACCGACATACTTGTAACCGCAATAAGCCAGTAAATCCAATGTTGAAAGACTTGTTTCAAGACTCATTATGTAAAGAGTCACAGTATGCACCAGTAATTCTATAATTCCCCATGCGAGAGCAGAGCTAGCTAAAATACCTAACTGCTCATGACTAAACCGTTCCTGAGTTCCTAAAACTAACCCAGCCATAACTATGTATGTTAAAAACGCCATTGTTGGAATATACATGTCTGGTGCATTTTTCTCATAACGTGGTTGCAATGGTACATCTTGTTCATACTTCACTGACCAGTCCTGTTAGAAAGTTCTATTATTTACATCTGTTCCAAAGTGATTAATTGATCACTTATTAAACCTAAGATACTTACTTTATGAGTAAATGGAAAGAACAGCAGAGCTAATTTTGTGAAAACATAATTTGTGTCAACTGCAAAATAATACTTAAGAGCTGTAACTGGCACAAATTTTTCAAGTTGTTGCTTTCCTGATCCCACCAAAGCATTTCCATATTGTACAGCCATGTTTGTAACTACAGGCTGTGCCAATAATTGTGTTGCAAATTCTTGTGATAAATATTGTTCTCCATGACCTTCGTTAGCAGGGTATGGCGAATTTTGTACTGGTGGTGTGTTAAAACCATATGGTAGTGGCTGTTGCTCTGGTACATTAAAACCATATTCAGGAACCATACCACCATTGTTCATTGGAACCTAAAAGATAGATTTGAGAAAAATATTTTGCATTTAATAATAAGTTATTTCCATACCATTGATCCCTATTAAATTTTACCTGTTGGTTATACATGTATGAACTTTGCGGCATTGATGTAGGAGCAGATAAACCAGCAGATGGATCCAATAACCTTTTTGGTTTTCCTATTAAATACATTAATTATGTAAGCAAATTTGTACAACAATATGAAACAATATGCAAATATAACATCATTTTAAGATTTATTTTTTAAATACAGTAGTCAACACTATAACCTCTGTGTGATATTTTACAACATTATATTTTATATAACCATACCTTCCCTTAAGAAAGATTATTCTAAATCATTACAATTAATTTTGTTAATAATAATTATCAAAAATATCAAATCCAAAACTATAAATTACAATTAAAAACGTAAGGTGACATAACACTTTCGTTAATCAAAGAACTTACCTCTTCGTGCACTTGAATTGTAATTCATGTTTATTCAATTAAACGCCAAAAACTTATTATTAAAAGACTTTAAATATTAATTACAATCGTATTGTTTACAGGTTGAGACCCGGCTATTTGTAGAACGACAATCGAAAACAATTCATTCTACACGTCGCCATATCTCGTCATTCGGCAAAGTCTCCCACTCTCTCATCTTAGTTTTGTCATCCTAAATATTTAGATGTTCTTATGTTGTTCTAATTAATATGTTATTTTATTAAACAATTGTATTTAATTTGAATATTTATTTCAAATAATAAATAAATAAATTTCAATGCATATACTATTCAGAAGCGTATATTTTTTAGTAGGAGGTATGTACTTATTTTAAAATAAGGATATTTTTATTAAATTACAAGTGAGTAATATAATATTGTCTTCTTTTTTAAATGACTTAATTTCCATCTGGCTAAATGTCGCACTATTATTTCTACCACCTACATATGTATTTACATAGATATCACTTTCTGAAATCACAGACGAAATAAATGATTTCCATAGTGATATCTATACCGCAGTTCACCAGAGTCCATAACTACGAAAAGACCAATTTTCGTTCTTTGCGCATCTCTAGTACGCATCTTCGTCCTGATTGGCGATACTCCCAAACGAAGTGGAAAGCGATTAGCTGAGAGCTCGCTACGTTCCCCCACCATCTTTCAATCTGCGCGTCGCAGTTATGGACTCTGGTGAACTGCGGTGTATAAAAACAATAACTTAAAGCCCATCTTTTTATGTAAATTGTTTTTCTAGGAGAACGTGTTTTTATTGGTTCATATAATAAAAATTGATTTTAATCTTTGATAAAATTGAAAGTATGCGAATTGACAAACGTCATTCATGAAATAAAATCATGCAAATACCTTTAACTTTTGTTAGTGAAAACTTACAGTATTCAGCAGTATTGTGAAATGAATAATTGAGGTTAATAAAGCAATTTGTTTTATTAGTTTTAAATGACATCTAAAATATTTCAAAAAATTTTATATTAGTTATGTATCGTTTCTAGTAAAAAAAAGTTTTTCTTTCAATTAATATAGATAATTTATACTTATTTATTACCTTGATCCTGAGGTTTAACCTTAAATAAATATCTCATTAAAATTATAATGTGTAAGTATATGTAATATTAAATGTAACTTATTTTTAACATTAAAATAGTAATTTGATAATTTGTTAATATAAGAGGATGTTAATGCAAATTTTTTTTTTTTAATATTTCAGCTTTTTCATTATGGATACATTAAAGAGTATATTAATATGTCGTTTATGTGGGGTTAATATTATAGAAGGAAAATGTAAAAACATCTTTGAAGAATCAGCTGATTTGGTACAAAAAATAAAAGAAACATTACCAATTTCAGTATGTTAATATACTTTAGTATACATTAAGAATACATATACATAAATATGATATATTTAGTACCAATATATAAAAGAGCTTTTTAATTAATGTTACTTTGAATGACTGTTACAGATATCTATAGATGATAATGGTTCAAAACATCTCTGCTTGCCATGTTACAACAAAATTATCCTCCATTATAAATTTATCCAAGAAGTAGTGGAACATTCTAAGAAACTTGAAAATACATCACAAATAAAATCTTTTCTTGATTTATCCAAAGAAATAACAGACTTCTCAAAAATTCATAGCGATGCTGTATATACATGCCCAAACTGCAATGTAGGTTTAATGATTTTATTAGTTAGTAATGCACAAGGCTGTGATTATACTTTTCAAATCTCATTAGCTATGGTAAATCATTCTGAAAAAAAGCATGTTATACAAGAAAAGAATATTGAGATACATAAAAACTTAATACATTTCAGTAATGCTAAGAGCAATATGTATTTGAAACATGAAAACCAAACAGCTTCTGAAGATGTTGAAAATGTTCCTAATTTAATAAGTCTTACATTACCTGTATTACAGCCAGAAGAAAATATAAGTTATATTAATGTGTTATCTAATAAAGAAAATGCAGAAACTGAAGAATGGAAGAAACAGAAAAGAAAATTCAAGGAATCTAATTGTTACAACCATTCTACTCGCCCGTCAAAGATATCGTGTACATCTAATGAGAATTTACTGAACTGTGATTATGATTCTACAGATCAGTTAGTAAAAACTGAGCATGAAAGTGATAATGCTTATTGGTTAGATAGCGAGACTGATTGTAAAAGTGGAAAAGATGAATATATGACTGAATTGCAAGATATTGTATTAGAAAAAGATGATGCACAAGAAGAAGACTTAGATGATACATATAAATCTTGTTTAAAATATGAATGCAAATTATGTGGTGCACGTTATCTTTCACATTTAAAATATGAATTTCATATGGAGAGACATAAAACAGGTAAAATATGTAAATACGAATGTACAGTATGCGATAAAGAAACAACTAGTGAAAATTTGTTATGGGATCACTATTTTCACACTCATAAAAGTTCACAACGTTATATTTGCTTAGAATGTGGCAAATTATTTACTAAACGGTCTAGATTGAATTGTCATCAAAAAAATTATAAACATTGTGGTATGAAACAAATACAAGTTGATACGAATAAAGACATCGCTAATGAAGATTTTGTACAAAAGGTAATAGAAACGGCCAACCAAGAAAAAGTTTCTGTAAACTGTAATCTCTGTGGTAAATTAATTTCAAACCTAGATCCCGATGCTATTAATGATTTAGTTACATGCGTTGATTGTGAAGATTCTACACTTTCTTTAATGGTAGATGGAAATGAGACTAAAGTAATCTCTCCGCGACAATATCACTGTTCTAAATGTCCTAAACACTTTGTACGAAAAGAACGATTAGAATTCCATGAAATGAGACATAATGAAAATATGAATGAATTTGTTTGTAGTACTTGTGGAAAGGATTTTAGAGCAGAAAATTCTTTGTATGAACACTATCTCTTTGTTCATAAAGGAGCAAGACCTCATATCTGTGAATTGTGTGGTAAATCATTCCAATTAAAGGCCAGATTAAAAGAACACCACAGAATTCATACAGGTGAAAGACCATATCAGTGTGATATCTGTGGTCAACGATGCAGAACTACAAACGCCTTAAAACTTCATAGAAAAATTCACTTTTCCCATAATAGATATACTTGCAATGTCTGCAACAAATCGTTTAGTAAAAAACAAAATATGAATGAACATTTAGAAAAGCATTGGAAAAATGATAAAAGTGTAACATTACCACAACTGTTTACGTGTCCGATTTGTTTAGAAGATTTTCCGACGTATCGAATGTTGAAATACCATATGACAGAAATCCATGAAATAAATAATCAGGATCCAATTCTAACTAAACAGAAACCATGGTATGAATGTAGTGAATGTCATGAGAAGTTTAAGCATCAGATGTCCTTGAAAGCGCATAAAGAGAGAATACACGAAGGAAGAGTAGATCCAAATTATCAGTGTGACACTTGTAACGCTACTTATAGAGTAAAACAACTTCTAGTAAATCATATTAAAAGTAAACATAATGGTGAAAGACGTTATAAGTGTGCACAGTGTGAAAAAGGGTTTAATGACACAAAATCTTTATATAACCATGTATTATTACATACTGGTAAAAAACCATTTGTTTGTGAATATTGTAACATGAGTTTTAGGAGAAAAGATTCTAGAGATCATCATCGTAGGAAACATACAGGTGAACAACCTTATCAATGCCCTGACTGTGGTGAATCATTTTCTACCTATAATAATAGATCGAAACACCGAAAACGAGAACACGGGAAAGATCCTGAATGTCCTGAGTGTAGAGAAAAATGTAGTAATCAACAAGAAATTAGAATTCATTTAAATAAACATCTTGGAGAAAAATTGAAAAAATTAAAGAATTCAAAAGCTGAAAAGACATAGCTTAAAAATTACATCCCACTAAAATTACATTGCTCTTAAATAGAGTGAAATCTTGATTATTTAATGGAATTTAAATGATTTAAAAAATTAAAATGTACCGATTAATTAATACATAGAAAGATTATACATATGTATTATGAATCGTACTTATTGGTACAGAAGAGTGTATAAAAATTTATATACATATCTTGCTGTTCAACTTCGCAAAAAATATAATGTAAAATTATAAAAATGTTTTGTCCTATATATATATATGTGTTTTTTCATTATAAAATATACATTTTTAATAAAATATATTAATTTATTGAACTGTTTTGTAAGAATAATTTTTAAATACTAATCGAATGTTACTGGCTCAAAACTTCATTAAAAATAAATGATGTGTATAGAAATAAAACCTGTAATAAATAATGAATAAAACTATGTCATATTATATTATTTATTCGTATTTTAGTTACAAAAATGATGGTTAATTAGTTTAGATACTAATAGAGGTTTCTAAAAACCGCTTCGTATGAAAACTTATCGTTAGCACCGATGCATGCGCATGGTTCTCATACGAAGGTTATAGTCAAGGTACACGTGCAGTTCAGACAAATGTCAAAATTTAAATGGTTGCGCTTCTGCGTCCGATGTGGCGCTGTCTCGCAAAAATCAGGTGGTCGCATTTACCAGCTGTGAGATGCTGCCTTATACTTGGTACTACATATACATGTAACGATACTTTTAATTCCTGAAATTAAGAAAGTCAGTATTATTAACAATATGAAATTCCATCGTGTATTCATTTACTACTGGCAAATATCTTTGAAAGATTTTTAATTTTTTAAAAAATTAAAGAAAAATATGAACTAGGGAACTACTTTCTCGCGGAGTAATATCTGAAACCGTTCGAGCAAGTCAATATTTATTCTGATCTTTTGCCCGAATTATAAATTTTTTTACTTATAAATTCGTATCAAATGAAAGTATTGCAATTTGGGAAGATGTTCGACATAAAATATTTTGAAAGTTTTGATTTTTTAAACAGTTATTTAACTAAATAATTTTTGCGGAGGAATAATGTCGTGCTGCGATCGCATAGACGCAAGCCAGCATCGTTCATTGGCTGAAGGAAGCGAGCGATTCACATGAACGTAACACACGTTCTTTTCTGCAAATACATATTCACTAACACTTATATACGATTTTCGTACACGATTCAGGACTGTACCTACTTTATACGATACCCTATAAATCATTTGAAAAATTGTTTTACTTCCGGTCGTACAACAGTACAAGTTTAATATTAAAAGTACTCATATTTATCCAAAACAATTCTACATAAAACAGTGGTGATCTTTTACTTGTAGAAATTGAAAACTGAAACTCTTTATTATTAAATACCCTTTAATTTTGACGCACGGCAATATAAATTCATACATCATCATCATCACCATATTACATATACCTGTATGTATGTATGTACATACACTACTCCGTTATTATACCGTTACCATTGTAAATTTTATTGTTACATACTTAGTTAATTATTTTCAATGAAGTAAAATAATGATTTTACAAAAGTAATGTATCGGTAAGAAAGGAAAAATATGGAAAATCGTGTTCTAAGACTTGTACTTTAGAAATACTATTGGAACTAACATATGACTACACGAAGAATAGTTTTTTAATTGAAAAAATAAGGATAGATCTCTGTAATAATATAATCGGGAAGAAATTGAGATAAGTACGATCCTGGTTGCTCAGCATAAGTAGGGACGAAGGGAGAGGCAGGTTTGCACACACACCGGCGCAGAACGGAGAGCGAATTCACTCGCCGGCTCTCAACAAGAACGCGTCGACATATACACCGTGTTTCAACGTACTGAGGTGATATATTTGTTATTTATCCTACGGTCGAAGGCGAGTCAATCGTGAGAATGGCCGGGGAAAAGCGTACTCAAGATCAAGAAGAAACCTTGTTATCGGAGACGGTGATATTGGTTGATATCGAAGGCACCACGACGAGCATAAGCTTCGTGAAGGTAACAAAGACTATGGCCGTGAGGCAGAACGCGCCCTACGGGTTCTCGCATTTCACCAGTTTTCCAACCGATTCTCTGACAGTACCCGATGATTCTGACTTTCAACCTAAAAACTTTGTTTCGCAGAAATTTTTAATTGTTATTATAGGTTTTCTAGACGAACAAAAATTCGTAGATAATACTTTCGCGCGTATTGTGTGTGGCTCTATTCCAGCAGTAGTATGCCGGCTGAAATCCAGTTTTAGGTTCCCTGTTCGTGAGACAGCAAATTTCATGGAAGCCAGTAGATGTTGTTTGATCGAATATAAATATTTTCCTTCAATCGTCTCGAACTTTGTATTTCTTAATATTACGACGTAGTATCAGATCGTTTCTCTATTTTTGCTGAATCTCTTAATTGTATTTTTTAAAGATGTACTTAACGAAAACAAAAACTGATTCACGTGTTTAAAAATTCATGTTATTTATCGAGGTGCGAAATATTGCTAGTTTAATTTAATGTTTAGTAAATGTTATTGCGCGTATGATTTTTCAAAATAACGGAAAGAGTAACGGCGCATCGTGCTGTTAATTCGATCGGTGAATATCTTACTACATTCACGTTTTACATTCCTTTCAGGATAAACTTTTCCCTTATGTACGAGAGAATTTAAAGAAATATATTGAAACTAAGTGGGAGGATGAAGAATTTAAACAAGACTTTGAAAAATTAAAGGAGCAGGTAAACATTACAAATATTGTTTAAACGATTGATACGTTTATATATAAAAAATTGATGTTGTATAAAATTATTCCTTTTTTTTTTTTACCATTTATTATTATTGAAGTACATATGTTGAGTGGCACAAAGATTGGAATACTTGAAAGAATTCAGTATTGATTGTTTATAGAAAATTTATATGTATATACCCTCATTATACGTGTAGTGATTCTTTGAATATTTTGTTTATTAAAACTGTAGTTTAATACAACAAGTGTAATAATAAATAATGTAATAAACTTTTAATAATGAAATCTAAAAAATAGCCAATAACATGATAGATCAGAGGCAGATGGTTAACTGTAAGCATTGACCTGGGAACATTCTTTGTTCCAAAAGTTTGCTACCTAGGCTGCAGTTGTGTGAAACTTAAGATTCAAATCAAATAAATCTTGAACAGTATATTTATCTTAGATTATAAATAATAAATTTTAGAAATAATTTAATGTTAATTTATTGATACTCCTTATAATAATATTTCAATTATTTATTTATTTATTTATCTATTTATAAATTATATAAATTGTAAATCTATTTTAGACATCTTGCGTATGTTCAAACAATTTACTGTGAATGATTATATTAAAATAGTTAAAAAAATTAAATAATTTAAAAAGAGTTATGTTTTAAGCAATTAGAAACTAGAAGCGTTATTTTATTTAAAAAAAATGTTATTTTTGTATATTATTTAAATAGTGATAAACTGAATTTTGTTAATACAAAAGTAGTGTAATTTTATTCGCGAGTAATTGTTATTTTTACTTTAGGCAAAGAAAGATGAAGAAGATAAAGTTGATGGTTTGGTTCCAATTGCTGGTGCTAATGCAGAAGAACAGAGAGAGTCTCTAATAAAAAATATTTCATGGCAAATGGATTGTGATCGAAAAACGGGTGCATTAAAACAATTACAAGGACATATGTGGCGTGAAGCTTATAAATCTGGAGCAATTAAAGCACAGTAAGTTTCTTACATGTGATAACCAGAACATTAAATTCATATACATATAATTAATGTGTTTATAAAAATCAATTTGTAAATATGCTATAGATATTTTTATACGTATTTTCTATTTTATTAATGAGTATGTTTATTAATATCGTGACGTAATTTTATTACGAAAGGAAAGAAAAAGAAGAAAAATGTTACAATATAAAGCTATGTATTTAAAATATTTTATTATATGTATATCAGTTTAAGACGTAGCGAGGTGAATATGTTGTGTAAGGGCTCACTTCTATTTATTATATAATTTGCAATTATACACATTTTTAATAATACAATAAACAGATCAGACTATAATAAATAATTTATTCATATAGTGTTTATGAAGATGTACCAAAAGCATTAGAGTCTTGGACAAACGATGGTAGAAAAGTCTATGTTTATTCAAGTGGTAGTGTTGAAGCGCAAAAACTTCTATTTGGACATACAGTACATGGTGATTTACTTAAGGTACTCTAGTTATGCACAAGTAATATTTATGAATATATAAAAATTGTTTAATATTATAAATATGAAAGATACTCAATATTTCATTAATTTTCAGTACGAGTAATAGTGCATTATTGTTTTAGTATTTCAGTGGTTATTTTGATACTGAAGTAGGTGCAAAACAAGAATCAAGTAGTTATCAGAATATATTAAATAAAATTGGAGCAAAACCGTCAAGTGTAATATTTTTAACTGATGTTGTCAAAGGTAAGTGACTAGTTTATAATGTAATATCAGATTTAAACGTTAACATTTGTACAATCAGTTTATTTATTCTAGAAGCTGCAGCTGCTAAAGAGGCAGGGTTAACCACAGTCATAGTACTACGCGAAGGCAATGCAGCCCTTACAGACGAAGAAAGAGTAACTTTTACAACGATTAAATCATTTTTAGACTTAACATTTCAAACCTCTTTGAAACGACAAAAGTTAGAGACCACAGAAATAGAAGAAAATAAGAATAAAAGTGCACCCGATGTTAGTGAACCAATGGACACTTCTGAGGATGTTGAAATGTCCGATGTCAGTGAAAAAAAAGTTGAAAAAGTGGAAAAGGAAGGAGCTGCTCAAAAAGAGACAAAGGAATCTGTGAAAGATCATTTACCAAAGGAAACAAAAATTTCAGACGGGAAAACCGAAGAACCTAAGGTTACTGATGCAAAGGACGTATCAAAATCTGAAAAGGTAATGGAAACTGTACCATTAGAAAAAGTAGAAGTTCAGCCGTCAGAGGTGAGTACCAAATTAGACGCATCTGAAAACGTAAAATCTGTAATAAGCGATAAAACTGAATCCACGTTAACATCAGCGAAGAACGATACAGATAAGCCCGTAGTTTCTGATAACGTAGACAAATCTATGGACGTAACAGAAAAGGTTGTAGATTCTAAGCCAGCAGCAACTGTTACTACTAAAGACCCCGTGGATGCTGGAAAATGTGAGCCTAAATCAAAGTCTGAAGATGTTACTATTACCGAGAAAAAGACTGAAGAAACACCAACTGTCACTAAAGAAACAAAGTCTGAAGATATTAAGGTATCTGATGTAAAAACTCCTAAAGACACGTCACAAGAGAAAAGCACTAGTAAGAGTATAGATGAAAAATCAGAAGAATGTAGTAAGAAACCAGAGGAGAGTGCTAAGAAATCAGAAGAATGTACTAAAAAATCAGAAGAATGTGTTAAGAAACCAGAGGAATGTACTAAGAAACCAGAAAACGAAACGAAGGAGGAATCCACTGATAAGGTTGTAACTAATCCCAGTAAAACAGACACGAAAAAGTCAGAAAGCGAGGAATCTTCGACAAAAGCAGCAACAACACAAGAATCTACGAAAGTTGAAGAGAAGCCATCGGAAAACGGCGATGTTTCGTTAACGAAAGCAGAGAAAGAGAAATCTACGCCAACGGTCAAAGAATCAGAAGCAACTAATAGTAAAGCAGATGTAAATGTTGAAGCGAAAAGTGCGGTTAAGGAAACAAAATCTGAAACAGAAACAGAATCCACGACTGAGAAAACTTCTAAAGTAAAAGAAACGGAAGAAAAAACAGCGACGTCTGTAACAGACGTAGAAAAAAAGGAAGCCAGCGACGAAACGAAACAGGAATCAACAGAGAAACCAACGAAAGAAGAAATTGTAGAGGAAACAACAAAAGAAACAACAAGTACAGTGGATTCCGAGAAGAAAAAATTAAACGGTACAACACAGAACGGAGATACAGATATAACAGTGTCGGATGATAAATTACACAGAAACGGACTGAATGAGGGGTCATCGAAAGAAAATGTTAAATCGTCAACGAGCGAAAGCACCTCTGCGCAAAACGGTGAACCAGAGAGTTCCTCAGAGGCTAGTGCAGACTCTATAAAAGTCAAAAAAGTCGTTGATTCAACAATAGCCGACGGTGCCGGCGAACCTGACGTTGTTCCCCCAGTAGTTGTAGCTGCGACGTCTTAATCTTGTTCTGATACATTTTAAGAATGTCCTTCATACATAACCCCAACCCACAATTACTTATCCACAGATATAAACTGAAAAAGTTGGCTCCTTACACCTTACATTAAAAGAAAAAAAAAAAAAAAAAAAAAAAAAAAGAAAAAAATCGTACGACGTTAAAGATGTAACACACGTTAATTTAAGATGCAGTTCATATAAGATTTCTATTTCTTCGATAAATGTGAAGGGAAAACGATATGTACAGCGTATCTCAGATTCGATTATCTTTCACGGTCATATAGCATGATAATATAATACGCTTGTTGATTGTGCTCAGTATAGAAACTCTTCAGAAGCTTGAAGCTTCTGCTTTCCTATTTTACATCGCTTAACTACGGTACATTTTCATCTGCTTTATTATTTAGTTGACTCGTATAAACATATTTTTATAATTGATAATACAACATTTGTAATAACTAATTGACTAGAGATAATCGAAAATGTCGTTCGCTGTGGTCAGATTTTACAAGTATTTCACTTTTCTTCCTCTATTGCATTTTACAATGCGTACTTGAGATCTTTTTTCCCCCCTTTTTTTATTTTTTTATAAATTTTTTTTTTTTTTTTTTTTTTTTTTTTTTTTAATGCCTAAACGGAATGTTACGGTATGAAAACTCATAGGATAGGAAATTCATCAGAGTATGCTTAAATACCGAATGTACTTTGTGCCAAATGAATGAATTCATCTGTTTTTTTGAAGATTTTTCTATCGTATATAAACGTTTAACACGGTTTGATCTATTTTTAGTTTCTTGTAAGAATCAGGAAACTTTCGATCTATTTGTATGATTTTTAAGACTGAATTCGTAATGCCTCGAACAGTCGCTGGCTTTAGACTATACGATTATTAACTTTTGCATACTCTCTTGTGTACTTAAATAATTTTATAAATTGATTAACACACAGTGATCTTCGAATCGTAGGTCATCCGAATCCTTTATTATTAAGTAAGCTGTGTCTTACAGTTTATTTAAACATATTAAGAAATGTATTTCTATTGTAATGACCAACATCATTATTCTATTTTTTCTTTTTTGTACTTTTTTTACTTTATTTATGTACATCTAGTTTAGAACATTTCAAACGACGTTGACTCACGCTCATGAAGTATTTTCATTTTTATTATATTTTGTATCATAAGAACACATTGAAAGTTTGATGCGTTGGATTCGTCCTTTCAAAAAAATCATGACATTCGCAGAAACTGTAACGATATTTTACGCATATATTTACTTTGTTAGTTGTAGAAAATTTCATTGCGCGACACTTAATAGTATTTAGCGAGTAACAATTTAATTTCCAAGAAAAAAAAATAGATCTATATGAAAATTTTTATTTTATTTTTTTCTATTCATTCCTATGAACTGACATGAAAGCTGTTTCGATAATGACGAATTGATTTATTATGTTTTTTTGAATTCGTAAATTTACCGAATTTGACACGAACTCGGTTATTTATTTATTATCCATTCCTGTAAAGTCAACTGTGATTTAACGATATACTGATAGACGTAGGGAAGTTAAAATGATTCATTAATTCTTCACTTACAGTAATTCCTTTGGCAGGTTATCATATTAATGCTATTATTATTTGAACTGAAATTAATATGCATCCTGTCTGATTCAAGTCACTGTGAAGACTGTAGATAATATAGATTAGTAGGCGATCAAAGTTTCTTCTTTCTTTTTTTTTATTTTTTATTTTTTTAAATTTTTTTTTCGTATTTTTTGCTTTATTCCTTTCAAATTTTCGATCGTTTTTTGCCGGCGACTATTGCTAGGGAAAACTCAACGATCCACAAGAGCGAATAAACAAAGTGCGACGTCAGTGTGTTCCACACTTGTTAATCTATAAGTCCATGTATAGTCAGTAAACGATTATATTCCGAGATCCCAAGAAATGCATACTATTTTCCACGACACTTTACAGACCTCGCATTTATTTATAAGGTGTCTCTTTCGACGACGAAACCTACTGTCTTTTTTTTTTTTTTTTTTGTTTTTACATTTTTTATACTCAGTTATGTTTTTGGCGTTGCACGATCCGTCACGAACGATGAATGGGAGGAAGAAAAAAGAGAACATAAAACGAAAATCGTAAGACTCGTTCACGATATAAAATGAAAATTGAATCCGAGGGATATCGTGTCTAATGAAACCCACTAACTGGATACTAGATCGATTTCGTTCGATGCTTATCCTTAAGTTAGGTGTATTCAGGATATTTCTGATTGATATTATAAAAAACGGTTGCAAATTCATCGATGCGCATCGGTAAATACAAGTATGCCCTAATCGTATCTCTTTTTTCTCTTTTTTTTTTTGTTTCTTTCTTTTTTCTTCAATTTTCAGGGCAACCTCTGTTAGCGATGATACGCGAAACGAAACGCACGATTTGTTAACTAGCCGGAAGCGCGTTAACGATAATGTAAACTGCCGACTTTTTGCCATAACGAATTTTTGTAATCATTCTATTGATGGTAATACAGTAGAATCTCGTTATATTGCCACGCGAGCGATTTGAATTTCACACAGATTTTCAAGCGAAAATGATACAGTTTTATCTCCTTTTTTTCCCTCCAACTAAAAGTTTGGAAGCTTGGAAAATTGCCCGCCAATTGTCCGTGGCGATATAGCAACAGTCTACTGTATTTCGTATTTTCATATTTTGCCTATCGATATATTGCACACGAAAAGAAGAAAAAATGCGAACAGAATGCCATCAGTACAATAAAAACGAAAGCGTATGAACGCTTAGTGACGGTGTGCACGAGATTCTCTCCGACTGACTTTCACGGCATCATCTGAAATCATCATCCCATATCATCCATTCTTATTCTTGCGTCGATAGTCGGAGGAGTTGAAACGCACATCGCCAGTTCGCGTTACTCTTCCTTTATTTTTTTTTTTCTTAATTTTGCAAGTGCTCAATCCTTAACGAATCTACAAGTTTTTTCTCGAACGTACACGGTCGTGTTTAACGTTTAAATGGTTGGTTTGGAACGAGAAGGCAGGAGTTACTGAAATTTTATAAAATTTCTACACTTCTACACTATAGTTTTCATTGAAATTCGAAATCAGGTAAACTCGCTTCCAACCATTTAAGTGTTAATTACTAATAAGATAACGTGATTAATATTCTAAGTTTAGGAAGCGTTAATCCTTTGCGGTTTGATTTTCGATGATCGCGTAATTTAGGACACTCTTAACACTTTGATGGGCCATATTTGTGATTTCATAAATGTTTTCATTGTATCATTATTTATTTATTATGTATGAATTATATTTCGAAAGGTGGTAATTTCACGGCTTACTGCTGGTGTTAAGTTAAATAGAAAAAAAGAAAATGTACAGTTGTAAAAGTTATAGTTTTCTATAAAATGTTTGGTCGTCAAAGTGTTAATGTAGATGATAATTTATTATAATTATTTATAAACGGTATTAAACTTGAATTTATTTTATAAAATAACATTGGACGATTTAAAATCGAAAATTTCATTTTGCGAAGGAGATTCAGTATTTCTATATCAAACCGCAAAGTGTTTGTAAGTTTAACGTCTGAGTATTTGGATTGCGACGCGCCACCCTGATGATTTGAAAGAATCTTTGATATCTCGATGCGGAGCGACCATTTTCTAACAATAAGATACATGTCAACATAATTTAGCACCTTGACTGCCACTAATTAATCGGGCAATTAATTTTACAATTTAAGCTTCTAGTTAGTTAGTTACCGTTAGTACAATACTAACATTATTTAAAGTTTGTTTATTCGTTTCCTATTAACTGCAATGGATGAGTCAATTGTGACCCAGACCCAGTGTATCAACTAAAATTAGGCATTTATGAGAAAAATAATAATTAACGAAAGGAAATTTAACCCTTCTTGAGATTATGAGGGCCAGCAGTCAATGTGTTAATCATTAAAGAACCATTTTACATACATTTGTATAGCCATTGTACACTGCCTTGTTCATGAGTGTTTGACAACACGCAGAAGAATCTTTACCATTTATTACAAGAAATGAGAAAGGGTGCGTCGTCTATATTATATATAATACAATAATATATCGTTTTTTCACTCGTGACACATTTTATCATTTGAACTCGTACTTACGTGTGATCGCAAGTTTCACAAACGAACAGAAACGTATCATTCCTTAAATGAACATTTTTCGTTGCTTGTGAATCGTGTAGTCGTTTAAATTGTATGCGTGAGACTCGTCGTCCTTTCAAGATATTAAACTACCTAATAAGACATCTTTAAGTACCGAAGATAGAAATATTAACGAACAATAGTTTCGTATCGATTAGCGATTATTATTTCTAATTCATTGGCTATTTTATGTAAACACATCAATATAAGTGTAGGAGAGAATGTACGGACTTTAATTGATATTTTTTAATGATCATCCTCTGACGGAGATTTTCCTTTTATATGGCCACTCTGTGTGTCCATTATTTTTTCTTTCTCAATCAACAATTTTTATATACTTTTATTTCACTTAGTTTATTTCACTATTATCACTTCTCAGAGCGTTCTCTCTAAATGATTAACATGTGTGCGTGTGCGTGTGCGTGTGCGTGTGCGTGTGTCTGTGCGTGTATACGTGTTGTTACACGGCGAAGGAAGAAAAGAAACGTGTTTCATTTCGATTCGTAATCAAATTCGACATTAATTAATTACTGGACTCCGAAAGTGTACAGAACGAATCCGTTGATTCTGTTCCCTCTGAACTCTTCACTGCATTCGTAGAGCAAAATAAATGAATTTTGCAACTAGAAATCCGTGCATTCATCTTTTCATTTTTTATATTATCGTTCCTACGTAAGGTATTCTGGTACATATTATAACACCGAACTTTTCATACTGTAAATTTTGTTTAGGTGTATATATTCTTATGGTGTCATTTGCATTAACGATCGAAGTAAGGAGGGATAAAATAAAAAACACGATTAGCGTCCGTAACTTACTTAGATTTAAAGGAACGATATTAAATCGATTTAAAAAAGAAAAGTGTATCGATGTGTATGTGATTTTTGAAAAACGAATAATCCGGTCTCCAGTATTGTTTCCATTCAATTATTGGTTCGTGTATGTCCGCTCAGCTAGTCGATAAATTT